CACCAACAGCCTCTTCAAATGTTACCGAGAGGGCAGGGCAGGGGAGGGAGGCGGGGAGGGCAGGGGAGCAGGGAGGGGGGGGGGGAAGGAGGGGTGGGGTTGGGGGGGGAGGGGGGATGCCCAAAAAACGCAAAAAACAGCAAAAAGTCAGGGCGTCCAGAAGACAAAGGCCGACAAGTGAGGTAAAATCAGGCGAAGCCGGGCCGGGGGGTGGAAAATGGACGCCAAAAGCGGGTGGTTCCAACCACTCAAGGAAAAAGTTGGAGGGCACTTGAGCTAACCTCCAAGACGGCTGGGGCGGTGGCCTCGCCGGACAAGGGAAAGCCAAGCCTCTAGACTCTCGAATGCCGAACACTGTCTCATCCTGCAGTTCAGCAGCCCACAGCAAAGCCACAGTGTTGCCAGCACGTATCTTCGTTCATGACACTGCAACGGGGGCCACGCCAGGAGGCCGCCCAAAGGAGCACCTCCGCCCGGGTTGTTCCAACCTCAGAACGGTGACGGTGAACATCTGACGTTGGCACGAACTCACAAAAGGGACTGCGGCCCCCAGGCACTCGCGTTTTCCTTTTTGTCTTCGTTTCAGTTTGCAGACTCTGAGGGCTTGCGAGAAAATCAGGCGGGAGCAGAAAGGCGACGGTCGCGTGGTGCCTGCGCGGAAGCAGAAGGAGACCCCAGGCAGCTTGGAAGCGGTTCTTAAATTCGGTCTCTGGCAAAATGCAGGTTGCATTCCATCCATGCCCCATGGCCAAAGCTCCTGGTGCATAGCTGCACATGCAGCCTGGGAAGCATTGCTGCTCCTGCATTCCCCCTCGCAGAGCCCTTCCCCAGGTCCTGCCGAGCGATCGGCCAACGCCTCAGCCGCACTGGAGAAGGCAAAGGACCTCTTCTCCAAAGGCCCCCCTCCTCGCGCACACATTTTGAGAAGGGATTCTGTTGCCGGGATATCCCCGCAATGTGAAGGAATAATGGCCATGTCAATGTGACGATTAGGAAGATTCCCGCCTCTGGGTGAAATCCTGCCGACATTCCATAGACTCTATGGGCTGGCTGGTTGGACATTGCAAGCATCGTAGTTTGCATGTGGCTTTCTGAACTCCGTGGCAGGCGAACACTGTAGCACATGCTGGCTGAGGTAGTCTGAGCCTGTGTATCTTATGTTGTGTGCCAGGCAAGAAAAACGGCGACCAGGCGCGTGGCACGATGGGTTTGAGGATGTTGTCAGCTCCAGGTCCTCAGGATCAGGCTGTGGGTTTCAGGGATGCTGCAATCCTTGCAACGGCCTGGATCCTATTGCTGGCATGTTTCTGGAGCTTCTCAACCCCCGCACTCATACGAGTTCCTCGGACCTGCCGACGCCCTTTTCGGCTCGGTGCCACGACCTGCTGCCGGCTCGCTGGAGGTGCTGATGGGTGATCGGGCGGTGAATTGGAACTGATATCACACCTGTGGCCACGAGGTCGAACAGCCTTGCCTGGCAAGTAGTGCACTGTGGACGACAATCATGGAGCATGGCATTGGAGACCCCCCACAAGAAGAAGCAACCACAAAGCTCGAAACAGCCTGCGGCTGCAAAGCTTCTCAAGGTGCAAGGAGCTCCGGTTCGTGGAGCAAACTGCTTCTCGGCTCACCGGGGCAATCTGAATTCGAGCTCGATTTACGGGCGGTGCAGGGGCTTGCGTTGAACCTTAGCCGTGATGCCGTCTCAGATGAGACTTCAGGCTCTGTGATGAGATTCCAGACGTTCTTGTTCTTGTTTGGGCATGGAAGAGCACATGCACGACTGGCGCGTAACACCAGACCGAGCCTCCCCCAAAAAAGGATTTGAATTTGAAGAAGCGTTGCTTTGGCTCTGGCTCGAGCAGAGGCCTGAACGCCCTGGAGTAAAGCTCCGGGGCCAGGCGAGGTGCCCCCCCCGTCCAGCGCTGCCTTGCTTCCTTTGCAGCGTCAGCTATCTTTGAGGTTGTTTGTTCTGTTCTTCGCATCCGGGCTGACGAGAGGTATCACCATGTCTTGGACGACTCCATGGTTCCGGGATGACGAGAAGCGGCCTCCTCGGATCTCGGATCTCCTCGGATCTCCGAGAAGCGCTCCCAGCCAGGCCATTCCTGCAGCGCACGGACACGATGTCCCTGGACATCATCCGGCCCAAGGATATTCCACGTGGACAGGCCAGGCTTGTTGAGCACATGGGGACTGAAGCTCCAGACCCTGCCTTACATCCTCCCTTAAAATTCGCTTTCTACTTCATTCCGGCAAGACACAGCAACACACCCGACGTCTTGCGCTGCAGGTCATGTTCCCCAAGGATTATGACAAGTCGCTCATCACGGAGGCAATGGGAATTGTTGTCCGGACTGAAGAGCGTGAGCAGCCGCCACACGAAACATCCAACCATCCACCCGCAATGACCAGACCCTAGGAATACCGACCACTCCTCACTTGCCATGGTGTGCTCTTCGTTTTCATCGTTCGGCCGTGTGGTTTTCAGGTCCGGGCGTTGGCGTCCCTGTTGAAGCCATGCATCTCCGTACTGCTTCATAATCTGCCTCGTCACTCGTCATGACCTGATGTGTCATCTAGTAATCTAGTATCTGCTCCAGAAGAACTGAACCAGCACTTGCTCTCCGTGTGTGTTTTCGGCGGCCAACTCAAAGACTCCTCGTCCCGAAATTTTCTGGCGGGCACCTTGGTGTGGTGTTCAGGCTTGCATCCCTTCTCGCTTCAACTACACTTTGTGCCTGTGCGCCGAGGTTCACACCCTCTTGTCTCCTTTTCTCAGCTTCTGGCTGTTGACAGTGCGCCTGTGGTGATCTCTCGTTCACAACTCCAACGACTGCCGGTTGCAGGCTCCTTAGTTCTCACTCTCGTTTGCGACAGCTGAAGAAGAACCAGATCCTACTCTCCCATGCTTGTGCCTGCATGTGCTTGGCCTTTGGCTGGTTGGTTTGCCTGGTGGTGTTGCACCGAGCACAGTCCTCCGACCATGCAGTCCCGAGAGGATGCAGCTAGTGTCCTGGCGAATCGGCTTGGTCTCGGTTAGTGTCAGTTTGTAGCATGCTCAGCCTTCCCTCTGGCGATCGACGCCGTGTGACCTTCTGTTCCTTCGACTATTTCGGCTAGCGCATGTGGGCAGGACATTCATCGGTGTCAGCCGCATTATGACCATCTCAACTACCTGAACAAGCCGGACATGAGCGCCGGATTCTTGGAACTAAAGATGGCCTGGTCGCCGGCTGCCCGAACTTCATCTCGCCAGGCCCAAAACTGAATCTCAAACGAGCGAACCGGCCTCACTTTGCTGTAGTCCAGCAGGGTTTGTGGCATTAGGTAGGGAGCCTCCTGGCAGGGGCAATAGCGTCCATATGGCAGCTTGTGAAACCATCCCTCGCTCTGATGAGGTCGGTTGCACGGACCCCGTGCATGTCGGGGGCAAGGCTCGTTCGTACTATGCCCGGGGCTCTGACTTTGCTGTTGGCAGCGCTCCAGTCATCAATTTCGGTTCTGTGCATCTTGCACAGGCATTCACTTAGTTCTCTTCTGAACGGAGCCCGAAGTCCGAGGCCCCTATGGATCGGCGCCCTCGAGATCTGTCTCTCACGACGGTGCGCAAATTTCCCATCCGCCTGCCCTCGTTTGCAAGCCCAGAGCTCCTTGGATCTTCTTCGCTCTTCGGCTGGCTCCCAGCCGAAGAGAGCGGTGGATTTCCCCTTGAGGGCCTTGATTGAGACTGGTCAGGCGGATATCGAGCTGGCGATCCCCCGAGGGGGCAACCACAAGGGCTCCCGCCGCGTTCCCGTTTCGGCGATCTCGATTGCTTGGGCTTGCATTGAGTTTCCTGTTGCAGCTGGCAAGCCCTGCCACAGTAGGTTTCAAGCGCATGGTCATCATGGTCTTCTTGCAGTCCCACAGCTGTTGGAGTCATTTGGCATGGAAGCTTCAGCCTGCAAGGCCATACGGACCCTGTGTGCCCCAGATATGAGATGCCGTCCTCCTACCAGCCGGGTCCCCGGACGACTCTGAGCCCATGAGCTTTTGAGCATGTGCTTTGGGTTTGTGTTTGGAATCAACGAACTGGCTTGCTGCTGCATGGCAGGGAAAGCAGGTAAAGTGCAGCCTGTGGGGCTTTGCAATTCTGTCTTGCACCTCTTGCAAACATCCGGCCAAGTCAGCCTGGCTTCTCGATTGCTTGGCCAGGGCCCCCGTTCCTGAACCGCGGTGGAACGGTCCTGTGCTCGGGAAAGGTTTCTTCGGGGCCATGACTGGGGCACAGCGCTTCAGAGCCTGGGGTTGGATCTACACAGCGGATTGGGATGAAGCCACAAGTATTGTGGCATGCAGTATGCCAAGCTTCAGTTGCGCGAGCATTGCAGGGTCGTGTGCTCTGGAAAGCACTTAGGCCGGCATGCCACAGACAACTCCGACATCGAGAAGAGCCATCCTCGTGTGAGCCGCCCCGAATGTCCTCGCAGAATGCCTTCTCTGGACGTTGTGTTGTCTTGTATGTTGGAGTGGCGTTGCTGTAGCACGTGCTGCTGCATGGTTTCGACTTCTTCAACGATTCACGTAGGTGCTTTGCGTCGCATGTGCGGTGCCGGTTCAAGGAGTTCTTCAGTGTGGTTTAGGCAACTGAGCTCGGATATTCCGGGATGAGGGGATTGAGCGTACCTTGCAAATATCTCTGTTCCTGATCACGACAAGCAGCCTCAAGCTTTGATGCAGGTTCTTCATCCTGATAGAAATTACGTGCGAGACCCAAACGAGGCCAGTTGAGAGCGTGAGAGCGTGGTCAAAGACAGTTCATTGGTTCCCTCCCTGCTGTCCAGTGCTTGCATAAACTGGGTGACACTGACAGCACCCTACCAGTATCTATCTATTGCATTCCGCCGTTGCACTTGCAGCACCTGCCTGAAAGCAGAGGTCGTCATGGCTGATTACGGAACTGTTGTTGCCTTTGCCGTGACTGAGCACAGGGCCGCGACATTGAGTACACAACTCCAAACTATGCCGGGTGCTCCAGGAGAAGCACCACAGTAGGTGGGCGAAGTGATGGGTACAAGGATCAAGCTTGGCTCTAGCACAGCAGCCAAAACTGGCGACTCGAAGCATCGAAAGCCTCACCAAGGCAGAGAAGCTGAACGCCCTCCGAGCACGGGGCCGTTGGAGGCTTAGAACTTCGTCCGGCTCGTCGCACGGCGGGGCCCGATCTCCAGATGGAGCGACCACCGAACCAGAAATGAAAAGGCCTGTTTGACTGAAGAGCTTCAAGGCACGAGAGCAGCCGCGCATTGCCTTGGTTGGAGTGCAAGGAGTGCTTGGCATGCTTCGACACGATTTGGCAGCGCAGATGTCTTTGACTGCGCCGAGGTCCAGACTTCTCCCTCAACGTGCAGGACAGCTTTCGGTATAAGATAGACGGTTGTAGAGGATCCCTGGTACAATGCGAGAATGCAGCTGGTACAACTATAGGCGTATAGGGGCCGGATACAGTCTTTAAGCCGAATGCTCTGGAGGACATCCTGGGTACCAAGCCGGCAAGGCCCCGATGTACGGACCCGTTGGATCCGAGTTACAAGGCGGGGCAATGCTTCGGTGCAGCCCAAACCTGGAATCTGCCCAAGAACGGGCTCACCCCCACTCACATGCACTGCAAGAGACGGAGGTCCCAACCAGTGCGACAACTTCGCTCCACGCGAAGTACGCAGAGGATTGCAGACTTCTGCATGTTCAGTCATTAGTCATTTGCCGTTGACTTGGTCATACAAGGGGCATTCGCCCTGGCCCACTGTCACTTTAACTGCTGTGAGCTTGCAGTGTGGGTCTCCGTGCAGCACTCGGATTAAGGCTGCTAGTAGCTCGTGACTCGACCCCTCACAAGGGTGCCACGATCGCTGCACTCAGGAGAAGGGCCTCGGCATAGAGCTGCCCAGCCTGCAGGCGAGCTGTGTTGACCCCCACAGGGAAAGTCAAGGGGAAACACCGGGGAAGGCGACACTAGGTGCATGATCATGGTTCCATAGGTTACATATGGATGTCAGTGGAACCACCCCACGTCCCGCTAAGAATCCAGGAAGCACCTGCAAAATCGTCGCAAGCACAACTTAAGTCCGACGAGCCGAAGCACGACAACAACTCTCGGTATCTACATCCCAGGTTCAAGAGTTCCAATACAATTTGGGGTCTAGCCGCCACATTGCGGCCCACTGAAGCCTGAAGCCTAACGAAAGCGAAGCCATCCAAGATGTGAGCACAAGGGCCAGCAACACAAAACGAGATAATCTGGCTGCTGCGATCAAAATTGCACGGCAGCGAGGAATTCGGCAAAGTAACCGAGGCTTGAGATGTTAAAGCCATGTTTAATGTTCGGATTGCAAAACCAGGGGGCAGCGGGGAAGAATGCGTGCAGAGCCCCGTCAGGTCAGGGAGGTCGGCCACGCGGGGCCCTTGGAGAGCTGTGCTGTGGGCCTACATGAGACACCTAATGGACCTAAAAGCAAACTTGCCTGTACCAGGTCGAGGGCTCGAAGTCCAAGCGGCTGACTTGGGACAACGGCGAGCCGCATCTGAGCCTCCTTCGCGAGGACCATTGCTCGCCTTGCAGAGAGTCCTGCGGCGAGTCGCAATCTTTGCTCTGCATAGCTCTGGATCTCCGATTCTACAGCCCTCTCGGTGCATCAAAGCGGGCAGACGAGGGTTAAGAAGAAGCAGCAATGGCTGTCGCGCAACTGTGGACCGTGGCATTCTGCTTGGTTTGCTTGCCGCTTCATTCTGCGTGGCTGGCTGAATACTTGAATACGATCACAACGGATTTGTGTCTCCATCAGGTTCTTTGGTTGCGCAAGCGATTGCCGAGTTGTGAAGTCTGGTGGACAAGCTGGAAGCATCTGGCGAAGTTTTGTTTGTCCGAACAGAACACGTGATGCGCAACCCTCACCTGAGACACCAGGAAGTCATGTTTTAGACGATTCAGAAAGTCGTCGGCCCTGATGTCCTCCTCCTTGGCACCGCGCTTTTTGCAAAGAGTGCCAGGCAGATGTTTCCTTCCACACATCTAACGGCGCTGCGTCACGTTAAGCACTATGACGATTGTTCAGCTCTTTTCGATGCTCAGAGTATCGTCGCGGAAAGTCTGCCAGCAGAAAGTCAGTTCCTCGAGCTGACTGCTGGCCAGCAACTCTCAGCGAGCGTTAGAACTAATACTTGGTTCTTGATGTAGGCTCGAACAATTGAAGATCTGCTTCTCTGCTTAGTCAAGACAAGACCGCAACAGATCCGAAGGTGTGAAATGTTCGATAGCCGCAACTTGGGGACCGCTCATCCGTCCGGACGCAACATCAGCCCCATGTGCCGAATCGGCTTGACCATGAGACATGCTTCAGCTGTCATTGTCCTGAGCGAGATGAATTACGAGCGAGAGAGTGAGGACTGGCGTGTACCTATGCCGATTCTGTGCAACGGACGTCCGTGCACGGAAACTCCGTGCAGTGAGCTCTGACTAAGTAGTATCAGAATGTGCAGATGGAGGTTTTGCTATCATTGGGGGAAGAAGCTCCGGTGCGTAGAGCTGCTTGCGTTTGGGGGTTCCTGCAGGGCCCCTTGAGCTTCCGGAGGGGTTCCTTCAGTCTCTCCACTGCCCTATCGGCTTGACTGCCAGTTGGGCGGGCTCGGGACGCCGACCCCTAAGCCCATCAGAAAGAAAGAGAGAGCAGCTAGTTTGCCATCCTCGTGCTGCAGATCAGTGGCTCCCAGTTCCACCGCGCTCCGACGCAGGACATCGCCGGTGCTTTGCCGCAGCGCTGGGTCCGGCATCCTAGAGCTTGAAGGGTCTCAGGAGTTGAGTCGTCCGGCGTGTTTGCCGTGTCGCACTTAACATTGGAGATTGCAAGGCCCGCCTTGCCCCAAGCTAGGACGAAGTTGTGTTCCAAGGCATACGTCCTTTTGAAGTTAACGGCCGGCCTCGAGAGGTTGGAACCATCCCTGCAAACATCTACGACGCACCAGAGATGAGGCAGGGAGTGGCCATGGCATGGCAGGGGCGCTTCTCGCTGCCTCTCAGCGAATTCGAGGCCGATGATCACGCACCACGACCCGCATGACATCCCAGGAGCCCAGGCCGCCCTCGGAGCTCTGAGCCTCCCTGGGCCTCTGTCTGCTGAGCAGGTCGGCACGCTCAAGAAGGGCATTGAGGGCAGCCGGCGCAGCGGAGTCCTCATGCGAAAGAGTTTTGTTGCTTTGCTCCTTCTTTCACCTCCCAGCTGCCAAATCTCCGCCGCAAGGAGTGCAAGCCTGTCCCAGGCGTGAACCCGCTGAACCCGCGCTACCCCATGCTCGACGGCAACGCGCGGCCGCAGCCGCTGCCCACCTTTGAGGCCGCGGACTTGTTGCAGGGCCTACGGAATCTAGGATCAGGTTCGAACTGGAGCGTGGCCGTGCTTCTGGTCACAAGCCTTACGCTGTAGATTTGAGCCTGTTACGAAGAGGTCAGCACAGAAAGAATTGCAACCAACCTGAGACCTTTCAGCTCGGAACTACCAACAGCCAGGGTCTGCACTGTGTTGCCTAGATCTGAAGAGGTTGAGTGAGCAATATCCTAGCAGTCCTAGCAAACTTAGGACCCAGATGCTAGAAGCTGCTAGAATCATGGAAGGCGTATTGCGCGGCCCAAACTTCGCAGGCGCAGAGGCATCCCATGCTGCGCAGCCAGCGCGGCGCCACCAGCATGCGCTCTGCTCAGACTTTCAGATGGGACGATAGGGCTCATCCTTCCCTCAAGCATTCAGTCCGTCCCTGACTGTCCTACAGTCAATGACGTTTCCCCGCATGTGTGCCTTGCGTCAGAAGCGCGCCCTAAGCGGTTGAGGTGACTGACTCAGCACTTTGGCCAAAGCTGTGAAACTCTTGGGAAATCAAAGTTAGACACGAACAGAACTGTTGGGGTAAGAGGCACTTCCCTATGATTCCCACTTCCCTCCGAAGCCGTCTTTATTTCCTTCGAGTTGAAGCCCTGCAAGGCCGAATCTGCGGGGCTCGAGATCGCAGGGGCCTCTGCAACTCCCTGCAGACCCCAGCATTTCGGGCTTCGGGGTGCTTGGGTTTTTTTTGTTGCCTTTCGGGAAGGGGTTGTCCAGTCCTGTGCATGCGATGCCGTTCATGTGTTGCAAATCGACAGCTGGGGTGGCCAGACAAAGGTTGATGCCTGCTGGCAAGCGCACCTTCACCGTGCCCGAGGAATTTGCAGAGTGCCTCGGCTTGGCTTCAAGAAAAAGGTAAGAGTTTAAAAGCCTGGAGTTGCAAGCTTCCACAGCGAATGCCGCAAGCCACCTTGATGCTTTGAAACACCCGTGCGCTACCCTGCTACCCCCCACCGCAAGATTCCGAGTGCGTTCCGTGCAAGGATGTTGTTTGCTCTAGCCTTCTTGCCAGCATCAATGCTGGGTGATTGCATTACAACCGACCAACCAGTAATGGTTCCGTGGCATTTTGCAGAAGTTGGCGTCAGTGCCATGGGAGGCATGTCCTGGATTTTTCAAAGTGCTTGCTTAGGATCGAAGGAATCTAGTGATCTAGTTACCCTGAGCGGCAGCTTTAACTTGGCTAGCATATCGTCGCCCAGGTCTGTCGCGCTACAGCGCGAGGCGTCAGGGATCCCAAGAAGTCGTTGCTGGTTCATCTGTGAAGCGATGGCTTGTCGAAGTTAGAGCTACGTCGGCTTAAGCCCGAAAGGTGACTGTAAACAATCAATGCATTTGCTCGCAAATCACAGGTGGCACGCTCGTGTCACCGGCCTTTCTCCCCGAGAGCTCAGCACAGACTGGTGACAATGTTGGTTTAAATGCGAAAACACATCCACCAAGACTAGTTTTAATTTAAGGTTAGCTGCCTCCAGTGATATGAGGGGTATCGAGCGGTGGTGTCCTGTCGTCGTCTTAACCGTGAGCGTCCTTGTTTTTCTGCCGCCGTTGCCGCTGCCGCACTTTGTCCTGGTCCCACCCCCGAGTTCTTCTTGCTCAGCGGTTCACCAGAATTAGGTGCGTGCTCAACCAGGCGAAACATGGTTGTTCGTTGATTCACAGCAAGATTCGCATCCATAAAAACAGGCAGCGACGAGCTTTTGCTTTGAAACGCCTTGGTCTCAGGTTGGCATCTGCCCTGCCGGAAGGAAGCCAAAGGCCGGCAGAGAAGTCTTCGATCCGTTTTGCCTCTGTTGTATGCCAGCGAGAATTTCAATTGCTGATGCTGGCTGCACGCAGCGGGCAGGCTTCCCGAGATGCAGGAGCAGAGGAGCCAAGGAAGCCAAGGAAGCCAAAGGCGAGCCTGAAGTGTTCCGGGGGCGGAAGGCTCACTTCGTATTCGAGAAGTTTCTGTGCAAGCGCGATGGACGTACCAGACAGGCCGTCTGCTCGGCTGGCACAGGTGGGTTTCAGATGCCTGCATACTGTACAGCTTTTACTGCGCGGTCTGGGTTGCACCATCTGTGCTTCAGTTGTGAAGTGGCTTCAACTGTAGCTGTAGCACGCAGGTAGACATGATACAGCCGGTGCCAGAGCCTTAAGTTCTCTGATGGGGTTCAAGCACAGGCTGCTCTCGCTGCGGCTGTCATACTTGGTTTCAGTTCACCAACAGGGTTCCACCGGTTTATGTTCCAACCTGCGACTGTGGCTCTGTGCTGCTTCTGAGGCCGCCTGCCATGATGGCCGAACCGGGTGGGGAGGTGCACGGACGCCGCACGCTCTCCTTCCCTGCATCTGGCCTCTGGACTGCAGGATGCGCACAACACCATCCGTTTCGACCTGCCAGCAAGCGAAGCCGGAGGTGCGATGCTCCCGAAAAAAAGAAAGATGCGCTGGGCGCGTGTCCCCTGCGCTGCCAGGCCTCTCCCGGCGCAGCGCCTCCAGCGGGGCCCTCCCGCGCGCCTAAGGAGGACAGACAAATGCCCGGGTTTTTTGCACCCTCACTGAGGTATCGACTGGCCTTGTAACACTGCAGGTATCAGGATGTATCAGGTATCTGATCTGTAAAAAGCTAAGGGAGCTGCTTGTGAGACGAGCTCTATTCGCCAGGAGAGCCTGCAGCGAATGGCTGAACGTGTTCACAAATCTCACCCGCGGGCAGCAGGGCTCTTGCGCATGATGGATCACTTAGCTGAGCCCAAACCCTGATCAGCAACCTGAAATGCCTAGACCCCCAGCTATACCGTACTAAACCCGTGTAGCAGATCGTTCTAAGGAGGGCACGGGCACAAGCCACGCCCCGGACACTGCTCTCGTGCGCTGGTTCAAAACTTCACGATTGCAATTGCTTTCATGGCATCTCAGCCCAGAGACTTCAGAGCATGACCTTAATGGTGTCGACTTTCTTCACAGAAGAGGTCCGAGGGGTGGGCCAGGAGAGCCAGTTGTTTGCAGGCCTTCAGCCCGCCGGTTCGCTGGAATATCGCTGGCGCGCAGCGTTCTTGGACCATTCCGGGGATCCCACCGCCTCCCGCACCCTCGCCCCGCTACTTCAGATGTCGCATATGCGCTGACATTTCTGATAAGAGCAAGCCGTGTGTGGAGTCTGTGCAAGTGTCCCGAAGGATGCAATGCCTGGAAAGCTGAACAGTGTTCAAGTCGTGGGCCCAGGAAATCTTCGAATTTGCGGGAGTCATTGCAGAAGCACTTGGCGCTGAAGAAGCAAGAGGACTCCGACATGCTGAAAGCGTGTTTTAAAAAGCTTCCGCAGCTGTCATGCAGCCGCGAAAGTCTTGCTGGTCTCCGTCCCGCGTCAGGCTTATGAGACTTTGCAGAAGCCCTTTCAGCCCGCGTCCTGAACAAGCTAGTTCCCTAGCACCTGCAGGGTTGGCACGTGTTGGAACATGAGTTGCCCTTAGACGCCGTCGCCGTCTCAAGCGGGGTGGAACGCCCTCTTCCGACCTGAACCGGGGCCTCCCGGCGTCTACAGGAGCTTCGCAAACACGAGGAGAAGACGGTCCTGAGCTCAGCTGCAGGAGAGCCAAGTGCCTCTTGCACTTGATGGCTCCGAGCCTCCCAAACTGTTCCCCGCACAGAACAGAGTCACACGACGGGTATACTACTGTGTAAATCTGTCTTCAGTGCTGCCTTTATCCTTGCTTCCGCTCTTGCCGTCGCGGTGATTTTGACATGATGAAGTTTGTATTCAGTGTTCCGAGTATCTATGCCAGTATGCTTGCTTGTAAGTCTAATCAAATCCTTTGCATGACTCGTCTTCTGTGTATGTTCCTTATGCCGCGAAAAGCGCAAGAAGGCGACGAAGCAAAAGACGCCTGCAGAGCCCCGGCCGTGGATCCTGGGCGCGCAGTTACAGGGTTCAGTGATTTCAGGATTCTAAGTTTCAGGCTTTCACTTGCGTGGGGCTTCGGGACTTCCGGTTTAGGGTTTCCTTTGCAGCGGCCCCGATTCTGCACGTTTTGGTTGCTCCTTAGCTCGGCTCTGAAGACAAGATGCAGCTTCGCGGCGTGACTCGGCTCCAAGGAAAGAGTCTTCTTCAGCGCAGGCCAGCTTGTCCGCCGGTTCCGGAAGCCTGCAATTAGATACAGGTGTAAGTAAGGCGGTTATCGCATGGGAGTTGTGGCCCGCAGTTGCGGTGCCGTCTGGAAAGCTGAGCTGCAAGGTTTCAGGGTGCATCCGTTTCAGCACTTTGGGGAATCGGGGGTTTTGAGTTTGAGCTATCCAGAATGAAAGGCGAAAAGAGGGTTTCGGTATCAAGAGTTCAGGTTTTGTGGGATCAACCGAGTTCGCTTCTTACTCACGTAAGCTGATTGTAGATATCCCTGCCTCGTAGTGTTGCGTTCTAAGCTGTTTGAACCAAGATTGATTTGCGGCTGTTCGACTTGTCCAGAAGAATCTATGTCATCACGTCGTGGCTAGCAAGCGTTTAATGGAAGCTTGCGTTTTGGCAGGCGGCACCGACGCCCTCGGCTCCGTCCAGGTTCGTCCTGATGGGTCTAACTTAGACTGGTTAAGTTTGACGTTGAGTTGCTCACAGTATGTTTTCACTCGAAAGAGTGATCTCTGGACCTCGGGGCCTTTCCGTTTTATGCATTTCGGGTCTGGGGGGTTTACCTTTACGCATCGGATGTACGACTGGAAGTCGAGCCTCAGAATTTCGGGACGAAGCTTTCGCTTCGAGGGTTTCCATTCGGGGGATTGCCTTTTGGGCCTGTGTATACTGCAGAAAGCACTGCAAGCTAGAATCTTAGATTGCCAAATTCTGGGATTTACGAGCCTGGCTGTGTGGGCTTCTGGAAGTAGCGTGTGTTCATGCTGGGACCAACAACTGCCGACCTCAGCACCAGATTGTTGGCAAGTCTAACGGCTTGACAGTCTCCACCGTTCCCCTGCGAATTGCATCGCGAACTCGCAAAGTTTCCTCATGGCGTTGCGAAGAATGCAAGACCACAGCTTGCAAGTAGTAAATTCAACTCTCTCGGGGAGCAGAATGAAGGGTTGTCTGTGGATCGTAGTTCGCGGCGGCAAACGTGGTAGGGAAGTCATGCTGTCTCCACGGAAGCATGGACAGTTTGTGCTGCAGAACTTGGTGAAGCTACCTTCGAGCCAACCAGGTAAGTCCGCCTGGACAGTCAGTCCAGCAAGACACGAGAACATTTGGATTCGGCGTGAACTGTTCCATGCTGCAGTTGCCTCCGCTTTGTGGTGCCGCAAGTTGTGTGAGCTCTGTTCCAGGCCCCTGCCAGGCAGCGGGAGTGCTTGGGAGGCCGGAGCCCGAGTCCTTTTGCCATCGGGACGAGTAGGGTTTGCTTCCCATGAACTTCGTCGGCAACAAGCATTGGCCGCTACGTACCTTTGGGCCAAGCCAGCAGCAACAACAAATGATGTTATGTACTTGCATGGGGTCTCCACTTCGGTCAGCCTCATGCTTGCTGCACTTAGGAAGCCCAGACTCTGTTAGTTTCCGGCAAGCTGTTCAGCCCAGGGTCACCCCCTCGTGCAAAAACGATGCAGCATGTCCGCTCGTGTTTAAGATGGCCAACGACGCATTATTTCCGTGCGGCCGCGAAAAGCGAGACGCACAGGAGGGAAAGCCTTGAAATTGCAATGAGTCACAGTCATGTGTGACGGGGCACGAGAATCATCTAAGAATGCACATGCCTGTGATTTCAGGGCTGGGTTTGATCGCTTTGAAGTCGAGTGCTACGCGTCAAGTCACAATTCTTGTCGTTGCCGCTTCATCTGTTCAGAAGATCCCCGGCGCACCTACAAGCGCCGTGACACAGTCTCCCCCAAAGTCCCAAACCCCAGGCTTCTGAGAGATTTTCCGAAGTCAAGCTCTTCACCGGAACTCTCTTTCCCTAAATTCAGACCGTCTCTTGAACCAGAGTCTCTGTTCGGCAGTCTGCCGCGCTGCGGCTCAAAGCCACGGGCACGACGGAGAAGGAGCGTTGGAGTCTCATTCGTCTTTCAGACAGCTGGGTTGTACAAGGAGGGCTCAGAAGCTGCCTGCGAAGGTTCCTCTGTGGGTTGTACTTCTCTTTCGGAGTGTGTGCATGTCTTATGACTCGACCTAAGTGGAGCATCGGAGGACAAGACGGATTTGAAGAATTTCGTTTCGGATCTCCAGTTGAATGATGAGCAGGCGGCCGGACTTCCTTGACTTTGGGGTGTTGGGCTGCTGCTTGCCAGGAAGAGCTCCAATGTTCCAATGTTGGAGTTTTCGGGGGACGAAGTACGCTTCGAACCTGCAGACGCCACAGTAGATAGGTCAGCGATCTGGTTCCTGGGTGTTCGCAGCTTCGCAAGAACGAAACAAGTACCGACAATCCTGATCATGCGGAAAGGGAGGTAGACCCTGGCGACCATGTCTGATGCCGGCACGAGTGCGGAGGTGGAGCTCGGCCTTCAGTTCCTGGAGAGGTCGAAGCTGCGCAGCCTCCTCGCCCAAAAGGCACGAAGTCAGTGCGGAGAATCTGGATGGTCTCGAGCCTAGCGGCTAGCGCCTCTTTGCAGGACCGGGTGCTAAAGTCGTGCCAGGATCCGGCGGCGAGGCAGGGCGTGAAGCTTTTGCGGGTGCGGCCTTTGCCATTCAATGCTTTTTCGATGTCTGTGGTTATGATGTGCCAGACTTCACTACTACTGATTGCACTTCATTGTGCTGTAGTCACCTTGGGCTGAACTTCCACATACTTTGCTGACAAGCCTTGCTTGCTTTCCTTTTTCCGCTTGTTACCCTGTGCCCGAGGATTGAAACCGTCAGAAAGATGATAGCAGCGGTGACGACCTCCAAGCTGTGCGGCCGTTCACGTCTTTTCCCGATATCAGTTGCGGTGAATTTCAGGAATTCTGTCAACCAATCGCTGTTGTACGCGCAGGATTTTTGTATATGAGAGCGATTACAAGGGCAATCGGCATACTGCCACGAATCTGTCTTGTAAGCTTCCGTATGCACATGTACCTGAGCAGGTTGTAGTATCCGAGTATCAATTTACGCCTTCCATCACTTCTTTTTGTCACAACCGGAGGAAGTTCTTATAAGACATTGTCAAGGTGTACTTTTCTGAAAAGCACCGGCATGCTGCCCATCGGTGTCTCTCAGATCTGCTTTGATCTCCGTGGCTCAACAGCACAGACACTGCAAGGAAGACATGGGCAGCCAGCGAGGGGCATGCTTAAGCTCATTCTAATACCACATTCCGTTGAATGAAACTCTTTCTGAGAGGAGCCAGTGATGTAATCGATACGCTAAGAATAAGGCCACGCTGGTGGAACGGGCATCTTGGGCTTGTGCCCAGACACGCTGCACCCAGTCTTGTCCAAACGTTGCCACCCGCTTCTCCGCACTTCCCCGCACTCATCACCCTCACCTTACAGCCCGTCGAAGCGACACGACACACGACACCCTAGAACTCCAGTGTCCATCGAGACATCCAGCGTGGACCGATGCTAGCCGGTCATGCCCTGGATGACTCCCGCACAGGCCAGTGTCTCAGACGCAAGCCCAAGTTGGGCTCCAAGGCTCCAGAGGGCTTCAGGGCATCGCCGCATTGTTGAGGCAAGGATGTGTCCTTTGCACTGTGCATACTGCGCCGATGCCGGAGGCTCCACCGCCGCGCGCGACGCGGACCTGGGTCAAGCGCTGGCAGGCGGGGATTGGCGGGGACGGCGAGGATCGCTGCATGCGCTGCCTGGCTCCCGCTTGGCTGCAGGACTCCGTGTGGCCGCGAAGGCGGCCACGCGGGCAGGCAGCCACCTGGCGACGCTGGACACCCAGAGTTCCGCAGCTGCTGAGGAGATGAAAGGAGCCACGGTTTCCAACAGTCTTGGTCTTGGAGGGCACTGGATGGAGTCAAAGGCAGTGTTTGCTTGGGCCGATACCCTCCACACTCATGCGGAACTGTGGTTGAAGGGTAGCCTTCAAGGCTTTGCATAGCCTGAAAAAAGGGTCGTGAGCAGGTGGCTAGTTGTGTGGCCTGCCCATACCTTACCCACGCCCAAACTGTACGTTTTAAGGCAATCGCCGCTGGATGCGGGGCTTTGTCGTCCGATTTGCTGCCTGTCTTTGCTAGGCTGGCGGCAGTTGCCGCTGTTCTTCCAGGGTGTTTGGCGATGCCGACTAGTTTGATTTGATGCGCTTCATCCCGAAGCTCTTTAGCCGAACCTGCGACAGCCCATCTGGCCCCAGAAGCAGGCCTGGCATTGCCAATGAAGGTCATGATGCCTGGACGCGGCAGTCCTTGATCTCAGTCGAATTCGACGAAGCAGACTCTCAGACATTTCAAAAAAACAACTACCCGCTCCCGCTCTCGTTTCCAAGAACATCCCGGTGCCATGGCCTATGCCTCTGCCGGCCTCGGGGCCGCTCCTCGCAATGGGAGCATGGGCAACATGGGGAACATGCCCTCGGCGGGCTACGGCTATGCCTCGCTTCGGCCTGAGACTTCCCTTTGCAGCCGTTGTCAAGCTGCCAAATCCTGCAGTCGGACCGAGGGGCTGAGAACCCATGTTTCGCGACGAGTCCCGATGGGAAGCGGAACTCAACTCTCCAGTGAAGGTCCTGCTCGTAGTCACTGTAGTCCTCACCCAGCAATGTCCCCACAGTCAGCACCTGTGAATCAGCCCGCAACCCAAACTCAGGCCTTCCGGAGCCCCATTGGGCCAGAGCATCGTCATGTCCGCGGCCCAAGCGCAAAAGCAAAGCAGTGCAAAGCCGTGCAAAGCAGTGCAGGGCTCCTCCGCTGTCTCGTGGCCGAGGAGCCCCAGCAGGTCGGCCGGGCGCGGGATGCCTTCGGCACTGCAAGCCCCGCTCGCCCCGGCTGCTGGGGGAGGAATGCCACGCGCGCAGCGCATGCAGCGGCTGCAGCGCATCCTGGATAGCCTCTTGTAAGGAGCAATGTGAGGATGGATTGCAGATCTCAGGTTAGTAGCTACAGATGTAATCTGCCAATCCCGCCAAAATGCCTATAAGAGAGTGTGCGAGGGAGGCTTGTCAAACCAACGCACATCGCTAAATTGTTAAGGCTTCGAGGTGTCCATAGCAGATGCCAATGATCTGGCAGTTCTGGAGGACTACGAGATCGTGCCTCGCTCGTGACGTGCTAAAAGCAGTCCATGCTGTTCTGGAGTTCTCTATACAGTCCTCCTCTGTTGCCCTTTGGTATGTTGTTCTATGGGAACCTCTGTATTCTACACTACTCACTGATCTGTACGTGCAGACATACAGTGGGGGTATGTAGTAAGATACTCCGGGTGCAGGACATGATAACAAATGGCATTGGGATCATCTCACACCCAACGGCCGACGACAGCAACAAACTACGCGCAACCTGTAACATGATAAATTGCAGCTGCAGCATTGTCACTGCGATGTTAAATGGCAGTGAAACAACCTCTCCCTCTCTCTCTCTCTTCCTTCTCTCTCTCTCTCTCTCTCTCTCTCTCTCTCTCTCTTCATTGTTTTACTTTCATGGGCACTGTGTCTACGTCGGGTGCAGCCTATCATGCATTGTACTGTAGAAGTGTGCATGAAACGTCTGTCGCAAGATCCTTCTGCTCTAGCATATGGGGCCCCGGGATCGAGTGGTTCTGGTTTGCTTTGGAAGTGCTCAGCTCTAACTTTGTGGTTGTCGTTGCCCTATCTACTGCTCGGACCTCCCTCTGCTGGCCCCGACCTTTCTCCTTGGATTTTTTTCCGGGGTCGGCATCTCGTCCTGGATTTTCTTCCTTTGGTGGCTTCAGGTCACCGTTCAGCTTGCCGCTCCTGGGCCTGCCACTTCTGCTTCCGGCATTGTCTGGGTAATGAGGAGCCCGACGTCACTCAGATTTCCTTGCAGCTCGAAGGGTTGAGCATTTCGATCACCCGGATTCGTTTAGTGCCAGACGTAGGGACCCTAGGCCCCGAACCCCTGCCATCCGAGTCCGGAAAAGGAGCCCTGCTAAGGGCGGCCCTTCCTCCTTGCCTGCTTCGCCCTTTGGTCCGGGCGCACCATCCAGTCTTCCTTCGCAGCCTCCGGGTTACAGATCTTCTTCCCTCGACCAAGTCGAAGCTTCTTTTCCTCCACTGCTTACTGCCTGGCTTCAAGCTTCAAAGTCCCTCCGCTCTTCTGGCTCGTCTGGACAAGAGCGAGTTGAACTAGCCTGGGTTGCTGGTTGGTGGGTTCGCGAGGTTCTTGCAGGGCACGCGAGGCCCGACTCCTCGCATTTCCTTGCCAAGTAGCGTTTACGCTGTTGCCAGGTCGGCAAACGGATCTCCTCCTGAGATCTATTCTTCGAAGCGAGACCATTTCGTTGCTGTTGACAACCTGCAGCAGCGCGTCACCTTATCCCAGGCCTTCCCTTCGGAGCTTGAGTGCCGTGTGCACCGCGACGCAGCCGGGACAACCACCTAATTGCCGGGCCACTAGCCCAATGGATTACGATTCCCTACTACCTGCGGAGGCGAGCTTTTGATCCTTGACCACAGCAACGACCCAGTCTTGGAAGAATGTTTCTCTTCTCCTTGTGCCTGTAACTGTGTGCTCAAACGACCTGGCGGATTCCTTCTGGCTGTGCTGGTCACCGCAACGGACGAGGCTGCCCTTGCCACTGCCGAGGCAGCCGGGTTTGTTGGAATCATCGGACCCTCCACAACCACTACTTGCCGGGGCGTTGCTTGGACCGATGCAGGAGAATGGGCCCAGGTTTAACCCGCAAAACAGGTGCCGGCACACGTGATCGACTTAGAGGTTCCAGCGGCTTCTTGCCTCGCCCCCTGTCAAGTCGACCTCGCGAGCTTCAATCTGGGCGACCTTGCTCTACCTTCTAGCTGCCGAGCTGGTCGCCTCTGCCTACTTCGCACGAGGCCTGGAAACCGAGGTGCGAGCGGCTACATGACAGCCGTCGAAGAGGCCACTTTGAGGGGCTCCAGCCGACGGCAGGTGAAGCCAAAAGAGCAGGAAGGTCGTGCAAAGCAGCCTACATTGGCGGGTCTAGCAGCCCAGCAAGCTACGATGCAAGAGCTGATGGCCTCCCTAGTCGACCAAATCCAGGTCCTCACTCAAAAGCAAAGCCAGGTTCAGCAGCATTGCCGGAGGTCGTTCCGCCGCCCGAGTTTTCTCCTCCACCCGGCCTAGGCAGGATGCAAGCGCACTCTTCCTTGACAGGCCCTATCTTTCAGACCCGGCTGCCCGTTGCCACCACCCTGGCATACGTCAGGGAGCTGGACACCCTGAGCCTCCGAGTTCCCAAACAAGCCCCCCAGCCTTCGCCGCGCGGCATGAAAGCGGAAGACTCTGCATGCCCCCCCCTCCCAGACGTTCCGGAACATCATTTGGCCTTTGGACAGTCCCCTGAATTGGGGGGGGTGGTAAAAGGTGGGTATTTTTTGTCAGCGACACAAACCTCGAGGCCGGGTGTTGAATTTCTTGTATAGGTAAGTGCCCCTTTTGGGAGCCCAAGGCTACGGCATGGAATCATGCATGTATAGTTGTGACCGTGCAGCGCCTTTTTTGGTTTAGCAGTGAAAAGTGTGACCGCGTAGGGTCGTACAGTGTAACTGATTCAAGGCTCAAGCGACTGCAGGGCGAGCTAGTTCCCCCTAGGACTTCTGTCTTGGCAGCTCGCGAGCATGGCTGTTCTGCATGGCGGAGGACCTGGCCCGACAGCTGCGGGAGGCTCGGGCTTTGAAGAAACGCGAAAGCACCACAGGCGGAGGGAGCCACCGCCCACTGTGCCGACACGGAGGAGAGGCCACGTGAAGAGGCTGGGGAAGCCACAGTCACTTTGCCGACCCCGCCGAGAATGCCAGAGACACTCATTGAAGCGATCCAGGATCATGCTGTACGGACTTTCCCACAATGTGTTTCTGACCAAGGGGTTCACTTCCTGCCAGAGGAGCTCGAGGTTCCCGCCTCGCCAAGAAGCTCCCTGCCGAGTTCTGCGCCTATACACGTCTGAAGCAGCTAGAGAAGTCGTCCCCGTCGCAGCCAATGCCAAGTTCACCAAAGAGACGGAGGCCGAGGAGGGCTCAGCAGTCCGGGGGTGGTGGTGCCAACCCTGCCCCTGCCTCCTAAATTGCTTGGGCGCGCAGGACTTGGCCCTTCCTGCATGCAGCTTTTTCTGGGTTAGGCAGCTGCCGTTCGTGGGAGGGCCGTCTCCTGGATTTTGCCGGTGGACATTGGCATGTTTGCCTTTCTGTCGCCGTGCCTGAGCGTGTCTTAACTGCTAACCTTCGTGGTACGGTACAGGTTGACGTGTCACCACAAGACAAGACAATGGCGATTCCAAGCGGCTGGTGCCGTTTTGGCACAGGCGGCACTCCTTGTGCCTGGGGCGTCAGCTATCGCCTGCTACCGGCGTGTTCTGAGCCCTCCCTGTCTCTTTCCCTATACATATTTATACACAGCCTCTCTCTCTCTCTCTCTCTCTCTCTCTCTCTCTCGTTCCCCTCTCACTCTCTCTCCTTTCCTTCTTCCCTCTCTCCGTCCCTTCGTCCCTCCTTCTTCGTGCTCTAGAGGAATACAGAAGACTGCAAAGTAGAGAGTGTAGAAGTAGCGTTTGTGCGCATTATACTGAAATTTGATTTTTTACATCGAAAGACAAAACTATCATAGAAGAAGGTGCTCATCCTTGACGATTCCAGCTCGATGAACAACTCTGCGAAGCCCGCTTCACAGCGACGGCTCTACGAGGAAATCAAGCACACATCGGGAACAGAGGGCGCCTGTGAGGGTTTCAGGCTTTGAGGTTCAGCGACCAGAAAAGGAGGCAACGGCGAGTGATTCCGTGAGTAGTCAGCTCAAAGGCTGTTGCCATTCTCAGGGATCAGTCCAAGCTCGTCTTAGCTTGGCATACTCCAAGACAGCAAGCACGCTTGCAGATTGCAAGATCCTGCACCCACTGTGGCTACACGGCTACACCTTAGAACACTCGTGACAGACAAGTGGGAGTCGAAATCATTGTCCAATCCACGCTTTTTTTCCGTTGGAGGAGTCTGCAACACGGTGGGATGAGCTTAAGTCATCCGTACTGCAACTCGGCCTGACCCAAGGTCTGTCAGTGCTTTGTGTGCAGCCTCCGTGGCAGATTCTATGGTTTCAGAGAAAGAGAAAATGACAACATCGAGTGTTTGGGCACGTAGCGAGACTTTCATTCCCATGAAATGTTGCTATTGCCTCTCGTGACAGCGTTTGAATCTCGGACGCTAGCCAGGGTGTTAGGTTGTGTTTTGCCGCTTGAGTCCTTAATTGATTTTGCGGAAGAACATCAGGCAGATTCTGGCCAAACATGCAACAGCACTTGTGATCATGGCGATCAGCAAAAGTTTCTGTGTCAAATCCCTCGGCCGAAGCCACGAGAACTTGGTCTCTGAAGTTCTCACCCACAGTGAATCCATGCTACAGCAGAAGCTCAACGCCCGAAAGTCGCTTGACCCGAACATCCGAATCCTTGGCACTGGGCCTCGAAGCCTGCTCCAAATGTCTCAGGCTTATGATAGACCTGGCAGCTTGTTTCGACGAGCTGGGGTCTTACAGTAACACGAGAAAGGTCGGAGCAGGTGGGCGCTGGGGGCCATACGATTTGAGCTTGGGTGCTGGGGGAGCTCCACGGCAGTGTGCGCCGGCTTGCGGGTATCATGCGGATCTGACCATTGTACGCATCGCGGCCTTCGTGCTAAAGTAAACAGTAAACGCTTCCTCATCCACTGTCTCAGGGTACTCGTGCAGTGTTGTTAATCATTTCCCTGATGTCACACCAAGGTCGGGCCTTGACCTGTTCTTCCTGAACCGTGGTCACATCGATGGCATCCCGGTCAACTGCAGTGATTTCTTCCAGAGTTGTTGGTCTAGTCTAGGAAAGCAGCTGGACTCGATGGGTGGGCCTGGCATATTGCGAAGGCTTGCGAGGTCCAAGGTGTTTCTGAGTGTCCCTGCTGCTGTGGATTCTGGACGTTATATGGTAAGCTCTGGTGCTATGTGACACCTCGATGCCTCAGCATTTCCCTCACACGAGAGCTCTGACATTCCACACTCATTGCAACCCCTGCCCTCGAATTTTGCCGAGGAGTGAAGATCTTCGGTTGCATTGGGCTCCGTGGAACCTTCACGTTTTTCCCGAAGAGCGCTCATGCAACAACCGAGGAGCTCACAGGATCCGCGAGTGCTTGGTGCTTTCACCCAGCCTGCTCGAGGCTCGACGCCGCTCACGGAGGCACGGCCGAGGGTTTTGTGATAATTTGACCTTTCGGCTTCAAGGGTGCTTTGGGCGTTTGCTGGTCAGCTGCGGGCGCTGATGCTGCGGCCCTTCGTAGCATTATTCTTTACATGTCTGGCGATGTCGCTTGCTCTGACAATGCAGAGTTGGGAGTGCCAGAGGCCCTGAGGACCGTGGCAGAGCACTGCCAAGGCATCTCGGGAGGAGTTGTGCCTAGTTGAGCGGGGATTCCATAAAGCGTGTCGTAGTTTCCACGCTTTTGCACAGAAGTCAAGCTTCTGTGTGCCGAGCTGTGCTATGGAAGAATAAGAAGAGAGGTGAGACTTTGCGAGTAGAAGCACGCGGGCAGGAGAGCGACCCATCCTGTTGATGATCTTCACGGAGACTCTGCATCAGTTGGCCTGTGTACCCAGAATCCAGAATCTCCAGACACGGAACTGCAAAGGAGCCGAGCCGACTCCCTTTCCCCAGCGCCGAGTGCCTCTTGCCGAGGATGGGGAGCCCAACGGCGGCGTGCGAAACTTCGAGAAGGAACTGAAGCGCTGCTCGCCTGAAGCTGTGGTTCTGAGGTGCAAAAGCCCTGCTGAGAGTGTTAGACTTCCAGGATTCACAGAAGAGTGCACGCTTCGCCTTTTTTTTGGACCGGGCCATGTTTTTGTGGAAAACCTGCCGAACTTCCGAGGCTTAGTCACGAAGAAGAGCACGAACTTGAGCTTCAGGGACTCGTGTCTGCAGTGTCGGACTCGTGCATAGAGCAGAGCTCGCATGATGACCGCCGTTCTCAGGTGCAGATCATGGCATGCACCGCGGACGAGGATGCTGTCGGATACCTGAACGACATCGACGAGAAGTTTGGCAAGGTCACCGCTCCAGGCAAACAGGACCGCAAGCTGCAAGCTCGGAACCTCGGAGGTGGATGTCACGGATGATTACTACAGCGAGATGATCGAGGTGCTCAAGAAGGTGGGGATCCGGCTTCCCCGGGTTTGCCTGCCGGATCCGATGGACATCGAGCGCACACTCGATGTCATGTTATGTCAGGGTCATGTCAGTTGAGAGAGCAGGGTTCTGCGTTGAAGCGCTAGTTGCCACGCTGCTTGCTTAGATGCAGCAAACATTGCAAGACTCACGTCCGATACAGTCTTCCTCTGCGTAGCCTAGCCTAGCAGATTCAGGCCACGTTGAAAAGTCTGCAGTCCTCATATCGGCACTTTTGGTTGCAAGCCCACCAGCTGCTTTCGGATTCCTTTTCCTGGACCATTTAGCTGAGCCGCAACTGTCTGGAGGGCCGTATCAAGAAGACCTTCTCGCGGGGCGATTGGCTGATGAAGGCCATGCTCGGCCCCGCAGCTCGGACCTAAGCCAAGGCCGGAGGATCGACTTGCAGAAGCCTTGGTTTGTGTCCCTCAGGTCAGTGCGAAGTTCGACGCCTGGGACGAGACCGGAGTGAAGAAGAAGCACTGTGCCAAGCACTGCGACGACTCGGACTGCAGCGTTGCTCGGAAGACGATACAATCTTGATGCAGTCATGCAGCTATGCCTGTGTGGCGTCATATCAGTGAATCTGACAATCTGACATTCATATGCAAGCCCAGCGCTGTCACTGAATCTGGATGAATAGCTAGAGTCTACCCAAGCCGGGCTGCACAAGTGATGATTTCTTTGTGGCATTTGCCCAAGAACTGCCAATTTTTTGTGTTGACGGTGATGTTGATTGGGGCCGTACTGCCATCAACCCAGGACCACAGCGACGCAGAGTGTGGTGCCTGCAGCATAAGCTGACCGCCCTTGTCTTCCCAGTGCCAACGTCTCTCTCTGCCGCTTGGGCCGACGAGCCGGGGATCCGGGGGTTAGAGAGCTTGGTGCGAAACTCTGCGGACTATAGGATATACTGGGGTGCTAGGGGGTGGCTGCAAGGTGTTGGCGTTATCTCACGTAAGGCTGTGGGCCGTGGGCCGCGGTCTACACGAGTACCGTGCTTCAAGACGGGTCGAAAGCCGGAAGGCTCGAGGGCATGAGCTCCTCGCAGTATCTCGCGGCTCGATCACCGGCGTACCGCATGTAAAGTCTGTTATGGCCGTTCAACTGTTTAAGCTCTTCGGGCATGGGGTCGTCTCGGAAAGTCCAAGTCGAGACATGCTGCGGTAAGAAGCTACAGTGAGGTTGTGTTTGCAAGCCTGGCAGCTTCAGACGCTGAGACCGACAGACGGCCTTGTCCGGGAACGGGGGCCGCACCGGCCTGCGGGACCTTAATTCATGGATCTTCATGCGTCCGTGCCCCGTGCAGTCTTTGAGGTGCGAAAGGGGTCTTGTCTATTCTTGGCTGGTCTTGGCTTGACCGTCTGTATTTCAGAGACACGTGCCTTAGACTCCTCTGTGCCTCTGTGTGTCTTGGTAAGTCTAAGCCCTGAGCCTTGAGTTTTCGTGCACCACCAGACGGCGGACCTGACGCCGACATGTTAGTTCGGTTGCCAGTTGCGAAGTGCAAACAGCATCTCTAGAATTAAACCAAGGAATGACCAGCAATACCCGAGCTCTTTGTGCTGTTTGCGTGATCTCGTGTGCCTGTCAGGTCTCTTCGCAACGATAGATACGTGAACCTTCATGACTCCGGAACACCGACTGTAGGTTGCTGCACTGTGCAGGCGTTTTCTCTGCATGTTTTAACATTTCTCATTCGTTGCCAGGCACTGGATGGACAGGCCTGGTTCGTTGCTCTAGCACGTAGGGGAGTGCCGCTGTTTCTCCTAAGATCGCTCCAGCCTTGCTCGTGCGCCTTCTTGTCCCAACTCAACTGTGGGCTTTGGGCACCGGCAAAATCTTCGTAGCATCGGGACCGGCAGCTCCTGACGATGTCTTTGCAGAAGCTTTTGTTCTTCTTCTTGCGTGCGTGAGGGAGCAGCTCACGCAGTAGCTAGCTGCGAGTCGAGAATCTGAGCTCTCTGAAATGCATCCCGAGCAGGCTGCTGCTCTTCGCTGGGCGGTTCGTCGTCTGGCTGGCAGGCCCGCTTGGCTGATACGCAGGAGCACTGCCCGATTTGCACCGGAACGACTCGATCACATATAATATCTTGGCTGTGGCAATGAGCCTTTGTGCGACCGCTGCCAGTGACTTTGCCGCTTGCACGCGGGCCAGGTCTGAGGCCTGCCCAGAGGGCGAGCGTGTGCGCTGGGCCAAGGCCTCGAAATGGCGCCGGATGGGCAGTGCTGAACATGGGTGGTCTAAGACCTAAGACATGTCAGAGCAGCAGCGCCCGCAGTGCGCGACTGTAGGGTTCAAGTCCCGAAAGGGCAAACGTCTCAGGCCCGAGCATCGGCCATCTCCTCAAGTGCTGAAGTTTTGCGTCCTGGGGCCGAGGTGGATTTCGTGGCCCTTGCAGGGGAAGAGCGCGGCTGGATGGGCTGGCTGTCGTCTGGGACCAAAAGTTTCCGCTAATGGAGTGCTCTCAACATTCAGGACTCGAATGAATTGCTCGCGGCGTTTATTGGCATTCTGTGAGCTTGCACGGGAAAGCTTATGGACCTTTATACATGGATTCTACGCGCACTTGTCTCTCTCGAACTTCATGCTGCTTGAGCTGTGTCTGAAATACAAGGAGCCAGGTTGGCCACGCAACCACCTACTGACCTACTTATTAGGAGTTTCATGTGAACATCTCGGGATGTGCCCCCGAATGGTTTATACCTCTCCCGCAACAGCCTTCGAAGCCTTTAAGGGCTTCGGTCATTTCCCGGCTCCGCCGGGACGTGCCCCTCGCGACCCTGCTTGCACGCTGGGCAGGGTGCCAAGACTTTGTGGGAGTTGCCCCAGACACCCTTTTGGGGCCGGGAACATGCCCTGCTCTTTGGATCTGTCTGCTGCCCGGCCCTGTCTGCAGGTGGCCGTGCTCCGGCCAGACCTGGCGCTTCACGCCGGACCGGCCGGGCGTTTAGTTGCGATGCTGCGCGACCAGGCACAGCCGAATGGATCAGCCACCAACATTGTGTGGATCCTTTTCTGCGTTTGTGTTGAGGAGACTCGGATAGTAGTGAAATGAATGTGCAACGAAGACATATCAACCTGAGCTCAGCAAGAACTCCCACAGAAACTCTATCCACCCAGAAGCCATGCGCAGATGCTTTCACAGGAGTGCGGCGGTGCGAGTCGCTCGCCGCCGCTGGCCACTGGCGTTTTCCCTCCGCAGCACTCCGAGAAGGCAGGCAAAAGACAGCGCCACTTTGAACACGCCACGAAGTTGCATAGCTTCAAAAAGTCACAACACTGACGAGGATCCCAGGTTCAGGGAGGCCCATCCCTGTGACTGCTGGCGCTTTTGAGACAAAAGTGCGACCCTCACGAGG